AGACCATTAAATCAGATTTCCAGTAAAAAAAAAAAAAAAAAAAAAAAAAAAAAAAAAAAAAGAGAGAGAGAGAGAGAAAGGGCTCTTTGAATCTGGTTCTTGCATGGATTTTTTTTTGTATTGTAAAGCCCTGTAGTTGGTCGCTTTTATACCATCTCTCACAAGAATGTTTTTGCATTTGTTTAAGTAGTATAGATAGAAATTGAAGCTCCCTTTCAAAGAGCAGAAAAAGCAAGATGACAGCTGCTGGCAGAGTAACACAATTTTTTCAAGGAAAAGGTAGGATCCTGGGATAAAGCAGCAAATCTCTAATGCACAAGTGGCAGTGAGAAGTGCTCCTCATGGCTGCAGCCGAATTCCCCAGGGGCTATGAGCGGCGCATGTTGCCAGTGACAGCAGCTTCTCCTGTTGGCAGGGTAAGGTTTATTAAAGGACATCCATCCCTGAGATATCTGGAGGCTACTCCAGTTCTTCCAGGACAAGAGTTCATTTTCTTAGTAATTAAACTGAAGAATCATGAAGAATTTGGTTGTTGTTTTCTGTCTCCAACAATTTATTTGCCATTCCTTTATATACTATATAACGTGCAGCCCCTATTGTGAGTTGGCAGTTTTTCTCAAGAAATGTAGACACTGACTATTATCATTGTGCTGTTCTTTATCTGTAGCACGATGTTTGTTATTAATAGCAGTAGTTTCTTCATACTAATAATTCCTTGATGGGTATTGTACCTGGAAAACTGACAGCTCCATATGCAAATGGAGCACTTCCACCTGAGTGTGATGTCTCTGAAAACAAAAAGTTCTGCAGATGTGGAAGAGACAGGAACTGTATAATTAGAGAATGTAAGACAAGTAGGATAGGAGGACAGGTGTGCCACCCCAGGAGAGGCAAACTACCTGTCTACCATATCTGCTGATTTTTTTTCTCTAGTGTTATTAGTAGGAAGAATAATTACCTGATGCTCTTTGTGTGATTGAATTAGTTTGGATGTAGAGAATTATCATGGCATTATTGTTATGGCAAGAAATGAAGGTCAAAAATTAAGATGAAATTTAGAACAATTCCAAATAGTCTGTTTGCAGCATGAGAACTTAGGAGGGAGCTGTTTGAATAGCCTTTATTTAAAAAATACTAATATTAAAAAAATATAGCTAAACTTTATGTTTTGTTGAATTAAACACCCACAGAACCAAGCATTTGCTATAGGTAAAGTATCATGAGAGCAACAGTTTTAACTCCAACCCTACTGCTTCTTCTGGGCACCTGTTGTCATTTTTAAGTTATGTTTGTTATAAAAACCCAGTTAAGTTAACTCACTTCAAGTCAACAAATGTACAAAGTTGGCGTAGTTTCCTCAAGGATTTAACAGGTATGTGTGTTCATGCACACACCTGTGTTACATGTATGTAATGTCTATACACTTTATATATCTGTATCTCTTATGAGTTATGTAGAGATTATTAGCAAGTAAAGGTGGGCATTGATTTCTCTGATCCCTTTACTTTTATGTTTCATTTCTGTTCCTCATTGTGCATTCATCTTTTTTCATTGATAGATATACTTACAAATCTCTTCATCATTGTTTCCATTAATAAACCATAATGTGTGCCAGTGTGTTGCATATACTATATGCACCACATGCATGTATTTCTGTGTGCTTAAAGCCATGAGTGAAGGTCAGTCTCCTTACTAGAGGATCATATAATAGGATTGCTCAATACAGCAAATAGGTGATGCTCAGTGATCCTAGGCAGGTTTTCAAGTCCTCTTTTCCAATGCTTTCTTTCAACCCTTATATGTTCCTTTAAAGACTTAGATACTTTCCTAAAAACACTGCATTGGAAGAAGCCTTTGGATAGACTGTGTCCTGTACTCTGCTACTGTGGGCAGTAGCCTGATCTATTTCAATAGTTTTTCTATTTCTGCCCTAGGAAAAGAAAAGTCAAGTCTTTTTCTGTCGCTGCTTGGAAGATGAGATTCACATCAATGCTTTGATTAGCATTGGAAATGTAGTGTGATTTATAAGGGGGGGAATGAAAAAGGTCAGCAATTCCATAGAATGTTTAGTATTCATATTTTTCCAGGTTTTATTTTTGGTTGGTTCTGGTGTGTTTGCAGCATGACAGTATGTAGTCAGTTGCTAAGGGGAGTTTCTCACACCTTTAGGATTAATTCAATCTAATTCATGAAAATCAAGTTGACAATTAAAGCAGAGCTGTTGAAAACTCTGAAGAATGTTTCACTTCTCAAACAAATTTTTCACCTTTATACATTGCATAAAAAATAGAAGACTGATTCAAGAGCTCATTGAACTTCATGTAAGGCATCCTGTGTGGGAGGGATGTATTTGCCTTTATATTGTATTTAGTGTATTAAGCCAGGTGGTCCTTGGAAGTTTTATTCATATGAGAAGGCAGTTCAGAAACTGATTCATGTCTGTGATACAAATTTTTTTCTAGAGTAGAAAGGACACAGTGTAATATTTTAATAGTTTTTTTATATATAAATGCAAACAAATAACCAAGAACCAAATCAAAATCATTAGGCAATAAACAAAGGCAACTTTATTTGGCACACCAACATTTTTGCTCTTTCGATGCAAGATGAAACAGCTTAGTTCTTCACTACCTGTTTGAAGATGCTAAGTGGGAAGCAGAGAACCATAGAGGCAGAAGTAAAAATGGGTCCCCTGTGAGTTGAAGCAGTTAGTGAAAGTAATGACATCTCTGCATTTATAGGTTAGCAATAAAATTCCTCTTTGCAGAGGGGTAATTCAAGATCATGTGTTACTTAAGTGCACTATCAATGAGAAATGTTTTCAGATGCTTTACATTTAAGCCAACATAAAAGCTGAAAATTGTCTTAATATTTCTTCATTTATTTATCTCTTCACTATGTTAAGTGTCTAAAATGAAATTGGAAATACTCAGCTTCACTGTGGACTCAGCACCTGTAGGCAGATGTTAAATGTAAACAATGGAAGCATGTTTAAAATTACCTCATAAAACAGTAATGTTTAAAGAAGTTTACTTTTCAAATTATAAGTTTCCTTACAAGATTGTTATCAGAAGGCATAGAGAATCATTGTCTCCCTTTCATTTGTGATTATAAAGCAGTAAGATTATTTTGGAAGTTACTAATTTGTGTCCAATTGGAATGGAGGGAGGGAGAGGCTCCAGGACTTGTGACTTGGAGTGCAGCTGCAAGGTTATAATTAAACAGATCCAAGTCTTTTTTTGCAGATTCTTGATAGGATTCTTCTTAGCTGCTTAACAACAGGGAGGTGGTTTGTCATACTCGCTTCTCCCCACAATCTATACATATGCATGAAGAAACAGTTCCTTTAGCTGTTTGATTGTTCAAGAGTTGGAGCTACAGGCTGGCAAGCTCCACTGATGTACACATTCTGAAGTTCTGACCCTTGACACCTTCTGAATAACTGAAGCATTCATTAAGTGTAAGATCATTCTTTTTCAGCTGACAAGTTTAAGTTTTGGGTATGCAGACTTATATCCCAATTCTGGAAATGACTGCTGGTTTTGTTGTGAAGTGTGGTGAGCCTGTCTACTCAGGGGTCACCTGAGGACTGGGATCTTTAGGATCATCAGTCCATCTCTGTAAACAGCAAAATGTATTTCAGGAAAATACTATTTCTCTGTTTCTTTTAAATGATTAATTGTCTATTTATATTTGAGAAAAAGAGAGCTGGATCCCCATTTATTTAAACTCCACTGCTTGGCTATTTAATATCTGTTTTCTCTGTTTATATATATCATGCCTCTGTGAAGTAACCAAATCTCCTTTTGTATGAACATAAGCATCCCATATATATCTGCATTTTTTGGAAATAAAACTAATTGGGGAAAAAAGTTTTGAAGAAAATTCAGTAACAGAAGGTAGATAGTTTTACAGCTGATTTCTGCTTTGGGCACTAGGATGACATGCTTTTTTCAGTTCTATACTGAGGTCTCGAAAGATACTGTGTTCATTACATTGATATTAATTAGAAATGGGAGAGCAGCTTGGTAGGTTTAGCCTCGATTATACTCTCCAGAAAAGCCCAGATAGCTCTAACGCGGAGGGAAGAGCCTCAAGCTGCTTAGTATTCCTTCTGCACTCTGTAGCAAAGCAACTTTTCTATGAAATGTCTATATTTGCATCCCATATATATCTGCATTTTTTGGAAATAAAACTAATTGGGGAAAAAAGTTTTGAAGAAAATTCAGTAACAGAAGGTAGATAGTTTTACAGCTGATTTCTGCTTTGGGCACTAGGATGACATGCTTTTTTCAGTTCTATACTGAGGTCTCGAAAGATACTGTGTTCATTACATTGATATTAATTAGAAATGGGAGAGCAGCTTGGTAGGTTTAGCCTCGATTATACTCTCCAGAAAAGCCCAGATAGCTCTAACGCGGAGGGAAGAGCCTCAAGCTGCTTAGTATTCCTTCTGCACTCTGTAGCAAAGCAACTTTTCTATGAAATGTCTATATTTTAATAATTTGGGACTCTTTTTTTTTTTTTTTTCATGTCACTACTGATACGAGTATTCAAATTCAATCTCATAGTAGTGCATGCAACTTCATTTGAAGTCAGCAAGAGGTGATGATTTAATGTAGAGTCTGGCAGTCTGTGAGATTATGATGGGGGAAGTAATTTGAAGGAGTGTTGGATGGTGTGTACGGGGTCTCCTGTTTGCTGCTTCTGTAATGAAGTCCTGTGTTCCAGTGTACAGTATGATTTTATTGAAAGCATGTAATGTCTTCCAGAAAGGTCTGACAGTGAGAGATTGTGCATTCCCTGACAGCCATGACAAAACGACTCCAGCTGTTCCTGAGAGGCGCCTAATGCTGTGCTGAAAATTACTGTTTTGTACATCTTTATTATTTAAATGTGGTGATGTTTGTTTTGCATTATTTTTTAACTGATTCTTATTAAATATGTGTTAGCACAACATGCAGTTCTGGTAATGCTGTTTTTGTTGGTAATCTTTTAAGGTTGTGCTGGTGAGATGGAACGAGCCATTCCAGAAATTAGCAACCTGTGATGCAGATGGAGGAATATTTGTTTGGATACAATATGAAGGCAGATGGTCTGTGGAGCTTGTGAATGATCGGGGGGCACAGGTTGGTATGATTGTTTTTTCTCAAGTTGAAAGTGGTCCTGAGAGGCAAAATGAAGAAGACAATGAGTGGTGCTTTGTATCTTTTGAGAAGCACAGGAGAATACAAAACATTTCTGTATGGAAATAAGTGTGCAAGAGTGTAGACAAAGGCACTTTGCAAGGACACTTTAGCCATTGCATCAGAGCTACAACTGGGATAATAGTTTCCCTATCTAGTTCTGTGCAGTTCTGCCTTTTATTAAAACAACAAAAAATCCCTACATGTCCCATACACCTGTTTTCTTGTCTTTAATATGTTAAGGTAAGCGACTTCACGTGGAGCCATGATGGGACTCAAGCCCTTATCTCCTATAGAGATGGATTTGTTCTGGTTGGTTCAGTCAGTGGACAAAGACACTGGTCTTCAGAAATAAACTTGGAGAGTCAGATCACCTGTGGCATATGGACTCCTGATGACCAACAGGTAATGGGGCTTTTGGAGGTATTAATTGTATTGCATTGGTATGCTATAGAATACAGTTCTTTAAAAGTTCATAAATAATAATTTTGTAAGAATAGTTTCCCTCAAAACTGGTGCTCCACAGATAATTGAAATGTAATTAATCCTGTCATTGTCATTAGAAAAAAAATACAATTTACCAAGTTAAATATCATCACTTCTCACCCCAGTTCACACAAACTCTTATTCAAAGTTAGTTATTTGAGACAGGAATCTGTAATTGTACCCTAATTTGTTTATACACCTGTCTTGAAAATGCATTTGAGCAGACATACAGCCTGCTCTGGAGAATATCTGGCTGGTCATTTCTGTATACACCTGTACATTCTGCACTTACGTAAGAGCAGTTCAAATGACAGATGCAATTATGTTTGCCTTCACGTAAGCAAATGGATCCAATTCATTCTGAGTGTCAGAGAGACCTCTCAGACTTATGCAAACAACATAATTTAGAAGGCCATTTTTTCTCCATTTTGGACTGTTGAGTCCAAAACTTGCTGAGCAAGTTAAAAAATTCTTCTCTACTCTTCTTCTAATAAAGCATATTATTTTGGCCACATTATTATTTATTGTGGGGCTTGAACTATCCCATAGGTGTCATTTGCAGAATTTACAATGGCCCTTTGCCATCAACTGTTGAGCTTACTGGAATGATGTTTCCTTCCACATGCTTGCTGGCTTTATGGTTAATATGTGTATAATACAGTACTGAAAGAACTTCTGGGGGTAGAAGAGTGCAAAGAGAAACTATATTATGATCACAACAGGAATTTTTTCCTTTTTTTATTTTACACTGCCATGAAAAGGTTCAAGACATTAGTCAGGTACCAGAGACTTTAATTTAGAATACTATAAATCCATGAAAGATAGAGTTATTTTGGGAATTGCTAGGGGAATATAATACAACTAGTAATACGCACTTCTGCAGCAGCATCTAATAATTTTAGAGTGCTCTGCAAAGAATAATGAATTAATTATTTCAACAGTGCTCTTTAAAGCCAGGAAGTCTAGCTGCCTCTTTTTGAATCCGAGGAAATGTAAGCCTTGACAATAAATAATTTACTCAAGATCAAGAGGAAAAGACAAGCAGCAAAAGCAGGAGGGAAAACTAAGATATAATAGCTCTCAGTCCTATGTTTTAAACATGAGGCTACCGAATTTGTGTAATTGCTCTGTTGTTGCTGCTCTATTTGGAAATATCTTCACTTGAATGTTTAATTTGGAGTGACTGGTTGCCTTTAATTCAATTTAGCCAATAGGTTTGTACTTTCTAATCTGGATCCTACAGAAGTGGTAATTCCAGAAAACAACGACTTGTTCAGTGTCCAGATAAGTGCATTCCAACATAATGGCCAATTCCAGCTGGGTGAAAATCACTTGCTAGAGTTTCAAGACTCTGCTGCTGACAAACTCACTGATACAGATACAAAAACCTGTCACAGTTCCTGAACCTTTTGAGAGCCTAGAGATGGCATGAGAGCTAGAGAGATGCCCAGAGTGGAGTACCATTCCTGCCAAAACTGAGCATGTAGTTGTAGGACAGTTGATACACAGTTGATACATCTGTTTGACTGCAACATTTTCATTCTCCGTGTCATATGTTGTCCAGTGATCCCTTATGGGCAGATTGTTACTGTGGTTCACACCCAAGTCTTGAGTCTGGACTGCTTCACCTAATTCAGTACAGAGGCCTTTTGATTGTGATTCTGCATGTTTATTATAAAAGACTATAAATTAATTTGCTCACTTTGTTGCATCTGTTGCATGTTATACCAGTAGCCTTTTGCAGGTAATAAGCAAATACACTGGATAGGAAGAATTTACTGGTCTGGGTTCTCTGTATCTTGAGCAGACTGCCATACTTGGGTTAAACTTGGATGAATTGCATCACTCAGGATTGTAACGTTCTTTCAATTCTTTTGAAATGGTTTTTTTTCAGGGCTGCAAGAGGCTTCAGTAAAGCCTACTTCTCCGAGTTGTGTAGAGTATTTTTCTGGTGAGAAGGCTTACCTAGGATCATGTGAGGATGAAAAGTATATTTGAAACAAAAAGTAGATTTGAATTATCAAAGAATGCTGTACCCTGTTGTGAGACACTTCTGTGGTGTTGTATCATGCTTGTTTGCAGAGAGGGAGTGTACATTCCAAGTAGACTAGATTACTTTCCAAATGAGAAAAACTTAGGTTTTTTATAGCCAAAGGGTTTATTTGTAATTAGAAGAAGAAACATCAATAACTAATTGAGGATCTTTCCTAAGCCCATGAGTCATATAAAATATTTTTCCTGTGCTTCATCTCCCTTCCTGTGTGCATATTTGGCTCCTGGTGACGTTTTTTCTATCAACTTCTGCTGGCCTTGGGCTGTACTCTCCCTTTCCTTCTCCCAGGTTCTACCTATTCAAGAGGCTTATCTGTTCATGATGAGAGAAAGGCACAGTATCAGAGAACTGGATGAGAACTGTAGTGAGGTCTCATTATCCTTTTGTTTGTAGCAATATAGTGTAACTCCCTAGACTTCACTGGGGTTGTTTCTATTGCTATTTCTGTCTGTGAGAAGGGAATCAGAAGGAAATCACTCCCCAATAGAGGGAAGCCTTGATGAAAATGAATTAATGTATTTTAATTCCTGGATATCCCAAGAGGTGCTATTCATCTATATTTGTTCCCTTCATCTCATCTAGTGTAAGTTATTAGGCTTTATTGACAGCTTAAGATCCCATTTCTATTTTTTACCTTCTCTTTCCTGTTGCAGGCTTTTATTTGTGGAAATTCAGGGACTGGCTAGGATTCTTTTTGGCAAGGACATGGCAAATGATGGATAAGTGTAAACTTTACTGGTGTATTTTCTTCTGTTTGCTTTGAAAATAGGTATATAAATTTGATTGCTGTCCTGAGGAGTACAAGCTTTACTGTTGTGTGTGATCCCATTGCAACACAACATGCATTAGTACTGAGAATGTGTAAATACAGGCCCCAAGTTTCAGCCAGTTCTGTCTCTAATGATACCAAATTCTGCTCTTGGTGGAAGAGAAGGGCTGCAGAGCATGGAGCAGTTACCATGTGCACTGCAAGGTCTTATAAGACACTGGAAGAAAACCTGAGACCAGTAGCAGATGAAACCGCTTTGTCTCAAGGTCTGTATGTTGGATTGCTTTTTTTTTAATCTTTTGTAGATTGCAGTAGCTCTGCAGGAAGGCAGTTTCTATGGTGTTAGTCACTTCTGCTCCCTGCACTTGCCATCCCTACTCCCATGGCAACCACAGATGCTCCAGCATCTTTTTCCCTGACAGACGTGAGGCAGGAACAGGCTTTCAGCTCCTTTGCCCTGCCTGCAGCACCCAGCCTGCAGCTCTGCACGATACAGAAAAGAGCTGCACATGAAGGAAGGGATGTGTGCTACTTTCTGGGTCCAGCAATATAGTCAGGTGGGATCTGTGTGCTAATACAGCACTTGGTCTTAAATGCCCCTGGTAACATCAGTGTCATGCTGTGCCAAGTGACACGATTCTCACCAGGAGGTAGGAGCTAATTAACAAGAAGCACCAACAAAGGGTTGGCAGTGGCACCAGGCTTTTCATGAGCTTGTTTCTCAAGCTCCTTGGATTTGCTATGGCTTTAGACCCTGGCAGGAATTTTAACTGATAAATCCATTATAGTGCTGTCTGCTTTTGGATCATCCCATTTTCATCTGTCAACTATGATTTGCAATTGCTACCACCTTTTCAGGGAAACATTGTTCTGCATCACTCCTAAGCTGATAGGGATAGTAGCTATAGTAGCTTCCAGAATGTAACTGAAAAATAAGGAATTTATAAGTGTTTGAAAATATTGCATCTGTTTGGGCCATGATGTCATCTTCTCACCTAAGTCTTCTTTTGCCTGCTGCTCTGGAATGAGTTATTTGTACTTCCATTCACCCTGCTGCTTTGGGTTTAGTCAGGTGCTGTAGCGCATGTCTGACTCAGGCAGCTCTTGTTATTGCAGGAGTCACACTGATCAAGTTTAATTATGCTCAGACATCTAGCTGTATGAAAAAAAAATCTGGAAGGCAGCTTCCTGATGAGTTGACAGAATGATGAATAGGAGCTACAAACAGGCAACTGGAGCAGTATAGGGAAGGCAAATATTTACCTGAATTATTATGAATTAAGGAAGAATAAATGAAAAAAAAAACACAGCCTATACAATTTGAAAGTGTAAGCAATGATTTTGCTTTTTATTAGATTATTTCTTGTCCTTAATACGAATCTTTACAGGTTGACATAAATGAGCCTTTAAAATGCCAGGAAATATCTATACTTTTGTGTCATAACATCCAAAAACTGATCTTTTCCCCCATCAATTCTGGGTTTAGAGACTATCAGAAAACCTCCTGTATGTATTTACAATGACTAGGGCTACTCAGAATTGCACGGTAAGATACAGTCTTTGAGGAAGAGCTGAGAGGTGTATTTTCCTTGATGGATGAATTACTCATATTACTGGGAAGAATGGCTAGAGGCTTTTTATAGCATTGAAGAAATGTCATTAATTAACTAGACAGTTTAGTCAAGCCAAAAGGACTGGAGACAATAGTTAAATCACATATAAGGATTTTTACATTACATACTGCAAAATTGAGCAGTACCATTAAAATGCAAAAAGAGGACAGGGGAAGGAGACTTCAGTTGTCTTTCAAGATAAATCCACTTGTTATATAAAGCAAACAGATAAACAAAACCCAACACAGCTTAATTGACTTTAATATTTTGGGCTGTTTTTAGAAGCATTTCAAATCTTTGTAGCAGACTGGCTGTTAAAATTAATGATTTCTGCTGGCTTGTGCTAAGGGTTCTGTGAATGTTTACTATCCTATTGTATCCTTTTATAGACAAAATATGTGAGGGTTTTATGTATACTTAAAATGCTTAAATGTTTTTGCAGAGACTTTTTATTCTTATTTTATATATTTATATGTGCTGGATG